TTTTTTGCCAATTCTTTCAGAGCAGCTTGAACTTTTTTTATAACCACAGGCTCTTGCTCAAATGTTGTTTCATGAAATTCTTCTGTGTCACCAATGACTTTTTTATACAATTACTCTATATACTCTATTTTCTTATATTGCTTCCTGGACAATTTAATTTTTTGCCCAAAGCATCCTTAAGTATTGCAACTCGAGATTTGAATTTGTTCTTCAGTTCCTTCAGCTTAAGAAATGCTGAGGGAGTTCGGTCCTTTTGATTTTCTGACTCTAGCTCCCTGCACATTTAATTGTAGTACTTTACTTTGTCTTTCAATACTGCCTTTTCAAATCTTCGGTTCAACTGTTTAATATCTTTTTCCCAGCTTGTTGCCTCAAACCATGGGCCTTTGGGATTGCAGCGCAGCTTCTTGCCACGAGGCTACCAGAGCTATGCAAAACAATGAGCAAAGTATTTACCTCCCAGGAGATATTTAATGAAAAACTCAAAATTAATTTTGCACCCAATTGATTATCCCCTGGGCACAGTTTTCTGTGGCTGCAAATTAAACAGGAGGGAAATTGTAAATTTTTATTCCTCCAAACTGCTCATGTATTTGTATCACCACAGTTATGTAACCTTTGACTTAAAAGTGCATATCCCTATGGACTATACCAGCAGAACTCTCTTGGAATTATTTACAGCTCTAATTTTCTCTTTGCTGAAAATCGATATTCACAAAGTACAATTTTTGTCAATTTTTTTAATTAAGACTTATAAAAATAATAGCACATTCTTCTTGGCTGTATTCTAACAACAAATATTCTCATTTTATATGCAAATATTTTTGTTTTACTTTATTAGAAGAAATACATGTTGCTCTCTCGAGCACTTCTCATTGTTGCTGAAACAAGTATCCATTTGCAAAATATTCTGTGTACTCCAAGAAATCACTTTTTAAAAGAAAGATAACAAACATTTTCTCAAAAAATATCAAATTTGATATCCAAGATGGCGGCAGAGGCAGAGACAACGTGGTGAGCTGCGGGAGCAGGAGACCACTTGGAGCAGGGCCACTATGTCCTTCTATAGACCTCTGTTTATTGATAATTGAACAGTTAAACAGTTGATGACTGGTCTTCAGTGAAGATCGAGGCTCAACAACAGGAATTCAAGGATTCCCAAGGAGGAATGTGTGAGTCTCACAGCTCCCAATCCCCTCCCAGAGAGCCCGCACTGCGCTGCACCACTGCTGCCACTCCATGAAGCTCCCACAGCTGGAACCTATGGAATCCCTCACCCAGAATGGATGGTGGGCACCTGGGCCTCCCCAGGACTGGTGTAGCGGAGCCACCACACTGCCGCAAACTGGACTTGTTCTGGGGAGAATTCTTGGAGCCAAGCTGGCAGTGGCCGGGGGGGGGCGGTCGGGGAGAGCGGGCAGCCACCTGCTGCCCATGAGGGAGATGATGGGGAGATGGCGGGTGCCGCTGGCCGCCCATGTGGGAGATGACACGAGCCTACCACATAGAAGATGGTCACGTGCCGCACTGTCTGCAGGTTTGGGTTTCCTTGGACAGGCCAGAGAAGATGATCACCCATACAATGGATTGTTGAAGGTCACTGTTAGTTATCTACTTGATGACACTTAACAACAGTAACAGCATGTCCAAGAGGACCGACATCCTAAATGCACCATATATTTTGATTGGTTGAATGCTTCTGCCAAGAGCTGTTTAGACCTGGCGAGGGTCTGTTCACATCTCTCAGGTTCCCTTTGCCATTTATAAAGGGGACGGGCAGTGACACCTAGTTAAATTATAGTATGACCACATATGGCGGTGGTAAAAGTGGTGGTGCAGGAATTGGAGATGCTGTCCTTGGACACATAGTCCTCGGTCAGGCGAGGGGACCACACTCGGGTGGGGGCAACTGGAGGGGGAGTGTACCAGCCAGCCCCTGGGGGGATGTTGCCCTGCTCAAGATGAGCTGTCTTTGGCCCCTGGCCTGGGGTAATTTGTCACGGCCCTCTGCCCAGTGTGGGCTGTCTTTGGCACTCGGCTCGTGACGAGCCGTCATGGCCTTCTGCCCCAGGCGGGTTGTCTTGCAAGACGTCACGGCCCTCAGCGTGAGCTCCTCAGTCACCAGACTGTGCCATCTGACCCTTGAATGGGGGAAATGAAAAAATGCCTAGGGTATCCAGAGAATTTTATCTAGGCTGCTTTCTTCCACCCTCTCCTCCAGTAAACCTGAAAGAAACACCCTCAACGCCCTTCTATTTGTAACTCACAAGTTTGTTCTCTCTAGGTTTGCTCCCTTTCCTATAGGTAACCTTAACACTGAGTTTTACTCCAGACCTGACCCTGAACTCAGTGCCAGTGACAAAAAGGAAATACAACTGCCACCTAAGGAAGCAAAGGAGGATGGAGCCTCTGGGTTCAACCGGCCATCCCCACTGGACCCACCTGGGAAAACACTTTGCAGTTCAGAGGGGAGCAAATGACAGGTAAATATCTTCTAACAGAACAAGAAAGCAATCAGCTTTAACCTAAGACCACCAGTAAGGTGATAAAGTGTCCTCCCTTTCCCCCTTCACATCAACACCCCTGTTCAGCATGAAGAAACCAGAGAGTCTTCATCCAGTTCCAAAATCAATAAGACAGTTGGTTTAATTGCCATTGGAAAATACTTACCATTCCCCTGTAGCATCTGGTTGCCACTGGATCCTTTTCATTTCCTTCACTTGCTCCCCTCACCAACCAAATTGTGCAGTTCTGTAACTGGATCCCTGCCCATTCTCACCCTTCTTTCCCCAACGCTCACCTCCTTGTACCCCCATTATGTTTTTCCCAATAAAGTTAAAAAAAAATATCAAATTTAAAGCCCCAAATCCAGTTGCAAAATAATTCTAATGGTTACTTACACTTTTCAAGACTTTGGATATAAAAACTAGGGTCAGCAAAGTTTAAATAATAATATGATTAATGTTTATTTAGAAACTATATACTTAAAGTTTATTAGATTAAAATTTTTATTTTCAACTGCCTTTGAAAGAAAATATTACAGTATATATTGTATCAACAATACAAGTAATGAAATTTAATTTGAGGTACTCATTAATTTAATAGTCTTTCAGAAGTTGATGATGTAAGATTTTGATGATAGAAAATATAGATAGTAATAAGTAAAGAGAAGAAATTAAATAGCTACTTTCATCACTGACTCTTTGCCCCATTTATCAAAATCATGTGGAAACTTAATAATTTGATCAATAGAAACTCAATCCACAGGTTGGTCTGTAGCACGCAAGCTGACATCCTCTATATGTGAAATGGCTGGTAAAACCTGCATCTATAGACCTGACAAGGGAAGCTATAATCCAATGGTCTGAAACCACTGGATCCACAGTCTAGTGAATATCAGCTTCCAGATCCATAGTCCAAAGAGTGGCAGTTTCTGGAACCAAAGTTCTAAGACCCAGTAGAAGTTGTTTGGCAGGGCAGTTAGAGAATGGAGGTCCTTGAAGGGTAGCTGGATGTATTGCAGAGGTTGGACACCACATGTGGTGTCTGGCAGCTGCTGGGCTCACATAACACCTGGTCTTGATAACTCCTGTAATGAGGTGAGCCCAGTTCACTGGTGCTAGGAGAGCAGAGGTCAGTCCTGTGGACCAAATTGCCCTGAGAGGAACTGCTACAGGAGGAAACTGGGTAACTCAGGCAGCCAGAGTAAGATGTGAGCTTTCCAGAGTAGCAACTATAGGACATATTTATAAAATAAATGACCTGAGCTGAGTTACAGTGAGAAAATTCTGAGTTAATGCCATCTTCTAGCCTGGGACATTTATGCACTCCCAACAGTGGGTGTGGTACACTACTTGGAAATGGTTCCTAACACTGGTGTCTCACAGTTGCATATGTTCACCTTAGTAATTGTTTCTGTAATTGCAACTGTATTTTAATAATTCTCCACTTATGGCTTTTATGGATGTTAAATATTTTTTTTTTGCTATAGTACAAAGCCAATAAACTACTCCAATGTTAGAAATGCTATGATTGTATTACATTCATTCCAATTCCTTTATGGGCAAAAAAGGCTCCTCCTTTTCCTTCTGTCTTGTTTCCTAAGGTTCCACTTCTTTTGGGAAGAAGGAAGAAAATTACTTTGTCACCATTCCTTCTTATCCTCTAAAATAATAAGAGGGGGGAAAAGATGCAAGGGCAACTCCTGTGTGTCTCCTTGGTAATTTGTTGTGGAAGTAATAGAAGACAAGTGCAGCAAGCATTATGAGTTTAATTGCAAACATTACACACCATCACATTTAATGAAGACAATTTGGAAAAAAATGTTACAAAAACCCTAAAATGTTTATTTGACTTAATATAATGTTTTGCCTTTATTACTGTTATATGTACACTATGTAGAAACTTTGTTATTTTTGTGACTAAGTAATTGGTCAACTAAAAGGAGACAGATATTAAATGATGCCACTTAAATAAAATACTTGCTGTTGTTGTTACGTGCCGTCGACTTAGAGAAGCAAATGTGATATACTAGAAAATAGGATGTAATAGGAATTTTTATAATGATGAAAAAGGTTACTCTTCATTAAATTTCTCCTTGTGGTCTAAATTGTGTATCTAATACACCTGTACAAAAAAAAAGGAAAAATGTACCTGAATATTTTCCTCTTTATAGAAAAGTATTCACTCAGTACAGTTAAAAAAAAAAAGACAAAAGCACGCAAGAGAAAAAGGAAAGTCTCTATTTGCCATGATGAGAAGAGCATTCATGTCAAATAGTCATCACATTTCTTGCATAAAAGCTTTGTGCCCTAACAACACAATTAAAGAACCCATTACTATAGAGAAACTATTCAAATGCAATTACAGAGACAACTACTGAGTTGCACATAAGTAAATAAGGAAGTACACATACAGAAAGGATAATCCTGTATACTGCCACACCTACTGCTGAGAGTATATAAATGTACAAGTATAGAAGGTGTCATTATACCTCAGAATCTTCTCAGAGTATCTCTGCTGAACTCACATCTCCTGGACCATGTCTTACCATTGCAGTTCTGGAAACTTCTCTAGCTCTCAAAGTGCCTGCCTGCATGGCCCTGTCTCCTCCTGTGGTTCTTCCTCTCCAAGCAACCTAGTCTACAGCATGGGATTCTGCTCTCCCATGACCTGCCAGCTGGGATCCTCTCTCTACAGAGGCTGTCAGGAGACCACCTGTGAGCCCAGCAGCTGTCACACATCTAGTGTGGTGTCCAGCCCCTGCCGGACTTCCTATTACTACCCAAGGACCTCTGCACTCTGCACTCCCCACCAAGCAACTTATACTAGGTCTCTGGGCTTCGGCTCTAGAAGCTGCCACTCCTTGGGCTATGGATCTCAAAGCTGTTATTCACTTGACTGTGTATCCAATAGTTTCAAACCCTTGAGTTCTAGAGGTTGTGGCTTCCCTTCTGTGAGTTATGGATCCAGACTCTGCTGCCCAAACTATTTTCCTTTTACAAGTTTCCAGACACCTTGTTACCAACCAATGTACAGATATGGATTCTACTGACTAATCTGTTGACTGGTCAAACCCATTCAAGCAATGCAGTAAGATTCTAGAGAAAGTTCATATATGACCATTATCTTCTGCACTGAAAACTAGGTCTATATTCCTTGGTCAACTTATTTTATTCCTTTCCACTCTTTAGCTATTGGCTGCCTGACTGACTCTGTAATATTACTGAATAACTCAAACTGTATTAGGATAAAATTTGTCTTTTGTATTCCACTAAAAATAGGTGGAAAGCTAAATAAATTTACTCTAATAAACTTCATTCTGCCATACAAATATGCTGTTAATGTTGTTAGTTATTAATTATCTATTGGCTAGATTTGTGCTGTCATTGTTACTGGTTTTAGGTTGGAACACAAATTGGTGGAAGAGATCTATATTTGTTCCCATCCCAAAGAAGGGTTATCCAACAGAGTGTGGAAACTATACAATAATCTCATTGATTTAAGATGCAAGCAAAATTCTACTGAAGATTATCCAAGAACGACTGGAACAACAAATCAGCAGAGAACTGCCAGAAGTCCCGGCTGAGTTTAGAAAGGGTCATGGTACTATGGATATTATAGCTAATGTTAGATGGATCTTAGATGAAAGCAGGGAGTACCAGAGGACTGTCTATCTGTGTTTCATTGACTATGCAAAGACGTTTGAATGTGCGGATCATAACAAGCTGTGGCTGACTCTAAGAATAATGGGAATACCAGAATACTGGATCGTGCTAATGAGAAACCTATACTTGGACCAAGAAGCAGTCGTCAGAACAGAGCAAGGGAACACTGCACGTTTCAAAATTGGGGAGGGCGTACGCCAGGGATGTGTCCTGTCTCCATACCTTTTCAACTTGTATGCAGAGATTATCCGGGAGGCTGGGCTCTATGAGGAGAAATGTGGCGTCAAGATTGGTAGAATATCTATCAAAAATATGCAATATAGAGATTACACAACCCTACTTGCTGAAACTAAGGAGGACCTGAAGCACTTGCTGCAGAGGGTCAAGGATTGCAGCCTCCAATATGGATTGAGGTTCAATGTCAAGAAGGCAAAGATTCTCACCACTGGGCCAATTGGTAGCATCAGGATGGATGATGAAGAGATTGAGATTACACACAGCTTTAGTTTTCTTGGCTCCACAGTCAACACTCTCAGCACCAGCATCCAGGAAATTAGAAGATGTATTGCCATGGGAAAGTCTGCTGTTAGGGACCTCTCCAAAGTACTGAAGAGCAATGGTGTTTCTTCGGAGACTAAGGTGTGTCTGATACAGACCATGGTCTTTGCAATCACTTGGTATGTGTCAGAGAATTGGAGAATGACTGTGGAGGATAGATGGAGAATTAATGCCTTTGAGCTGTGGTGCTGGAGAAGAGTATTGAGTGTACCATGGACTGCTATGAAAATAAACAGATTCATCCTGCAAAGGGTCAAACTGGGCTGCTCCTTGGAGGCAAGGATTCAAAGGCTCCATCTAACATATTTTGGACATGTTGTAAGGAGGGACAGGTCCTTGGAGAGGGACATCATGCTTGGTAGAGTGGAGGGGCAGCACAGAAGGGGAAGACCCTCTATGAGGTGGATTGATTCAGTGACTGGGGTAATCAGGATGGGTGTGTCGGAGACGGTGCGATTGGCATAGGTTAGAGTAGAGTTTAGGAATGTTGTACATAGGGTCTCTATGAGTCGCAAGCAACTCGATGGCACATAACAACAACAACAACATATTAATTTTGGCTTAGATTTTAATATATTCTCTTCTTTAAATAGAAGTTTGTACCCAAAAGCTTCTAGATCCCTCCTTTCACTTTTATTAAGATGGCAATAGAATTGAGTAGTTTTGTTTACTCCCTAAATGTAGGACTATATATCTCCAAAGATAAATCCTGTCCTGGATGTTTATTGAATGCAAGAAAAAAAATTTGATTTTATTATGAGGTTTTATATGAAAAACATTACAATAGAAGCTCTGGCTGTACAGTTTAATAAAATAGTACCTATGATCACTAAATCACTGTGAAGGTATTTCACATTTCTTTTAATTGCCTAAGTCCCTATATCCTAAATCTATTTTTGGTCTACTCTAATCATCTCAATTTGCATCAAAATAAAAGCAATACAATTAAATAAGAATTTAGAGGTTCACAGGTAAGAAGTTGCATATCACTGTTTGGTCAGCAAGTGAACTCAGTTTAACTGAAAAAAATCAATCTTTAATATCATCACAAGTAAAAATGTCACTGTATCTTGAAATAAAATGAAATAATATATGAGCAAGAGCCTATGGTGATGAAGGTAGAAGTTCAAGCTGCTTGGAAGGAAATAGCAAAAAATAAAGCTCCAGGAATAGATTGTATACCAATTGAAGTATTTCAGCTAACAGATGCTGCCCTGGATGTCCTCACCAAGTTGTGCCAAGAAATCTAGAGAACAACCACTTGGCCAACTGACTGGAAGAGATCCATATTTGGTCCCATTCCAAAGAAGGCTGACCCAACTGAGTGTGGAAACTACAGAACAACATCATTGATTTCACATGCAAGCAAGATTCTACTGAAGATTATCCAAAAACTACTGGAATAACACATCAGCAGAAAATTACCAGAAGTCCAGTCTGGGATTAGAAGGGGTCGTGGTACTAGGGATATTGTTGCTGATGATAGATGGATCTTAGATGAAAGCAGGGAATACCAGAAGAATGTCTATATGTGCTTCATTGATTATGCAAAGGTGTTTGTGTGGATCATAACAAACTGTGGCTGACTCTGAGAAGAATGGGAATCCCAGAACACTTAATCGTGCTAATGAAAAACCTATACTTGAACCAAGAGGCAGTCGTCAGAACAGAGCAGGGTAACACTGCATGGTTCAAAATTGGGAAGGGTGTACGCCAGGGATGTGTCCTGTCTCCATACCTTTCCAACCTGTATGCAGAGCAGATTATCCGAGAGACTGGGCTCTATGAGGAGAAATGTGGGGTCAAGATTGGTGGAAGATCTATTGACAATCTTTGTTATGCAGATGACACAACCCTGCTTGCTGAAACTGAGGAGGACCTCATGCACTTGCTGCAGAGGGTCAAGGACTGCAGCCTGCAGTATGAACTAAGGCTCAATGTCAAGAAGACAAAGATTCTCACCACTGGACCAATTGGTAGCATCAGGATGGATGACGAAGAGATTGAGATTGTTCACAGCTTCAGTCTGCTCGGCTCCACGGTCAACACTCTTGGCACCAACAGTCAGGAAATCAAAAAATGTAATGCAATGGGAATGTCTGCTCTCAGGGACCTCTCTAAAGTACTCAAGAGCAATGATGTCTTTCTGGAGACTGAGGTCCGCCTCATACAGGCCATGATGTTTGCAATCACTTGTTATGCATCAGAGAGTTGGAGAATGACTAGGGAGGATAGAAGTAGAATTAATGCCCTTGAGCTGTGGTGCTGGAGAAGAGTATTGAATGTACCATGGAGTGCCAAGAAAACAAACAGATTCATCATGGGGAGGATTAAAACAAGCAACTCTTGGAGGCAAGCATTCTGGGGCTTCGTCTGACATGCTTTGGTCATGTTGTATGGAGAGATCCGTCCTTGGAGAGGGACATCATGTTTGGGAGGTTGAAGGCAGGTGCAAGAGGCCAAGACCCTCTATGAGATGGATTGATTCAGTGACTGGGGTAATCTGGATGCGATTGGCACAGGATCGAGCAGGATTTTGGGCTGTTGTACATAGGGTTGCTATGAGTCGCAAACGACTCCACAGCACATAACAACAACAACAACAACAACAACAACAACAACAACAACAACAACATTGCTTTATACCGTTTTGCTTTTAAACATTCAAGAATTTTTAAATTGTTGTGCTAAGAGTATATAATACTTAGAGTTATAATGCATATATGTTGTTGTTGTTGTTGTTATGAGTCGAAAAATGTTCAAATATTGTATGTTTTTGTTATGTGCCATCAAGTCGCTTTTGACTCATAGCAACCCTGTGTACAACAGCCCTAAACCCTGCTCTATCTTGTGCCAATCACATTGCCTCTGACACACCCATCCCAATTGCCCCAGTCACTGAATCAATCCATCTCATAGAGGGTCTTCCCCTCTTGCGCTGTCCTTTCTCCCTCCCAAGCATGATATCCCTCTCCGAGGACCTGTCCCTCCTTACATGTCCAAAGTAGGTTAGACAAAGCCTCAGAATCCTCGCCTCTAAGGAGCAGCCTGGTTTAACCCTCTCCAGGATGAATCTGTTTGTTTCCTTGGCAGTCCGTGGTATACTCAATACTCTTCTCCAGCACCACAGCTCAAGGCATTAATTCTCCTTCTATCCTTCCTAGTCATTCTCTAATTCTCTGACACATAACAAGTGATGGCAAAGACCATGGTCTGTATCAGACACACCTCAGTCTCTAGAATGACAACATTGCTCTTCAGTACTTTGGAGCGGTCCAACATCAGACTTTCTCATGGCAATACATCTTTTAATTTACTTGCTGTTAGTGCCAATATTGTTGACTGTGGATCCAAGCAAACTAAAGTGTTTAACAATCTCAATCTCTTCACCATCCATCCTGATGCTGCCAATTGGTCCAGTGGTGAGAATTTTTGTTTTCTTGACACTGACCCTGAATCCATATTGAAGATTTTAATCCTTGACCGTGTGCAGCAAGTGCTTCAGGTCTTCCTCAGTTTCAGCAAGCAGGATTGTGTCATCTGCATAATGCAAAATGTTGATAGATTTTCCACCAATCCTGACAACATATTTCTCCTCATAGAGCCCAGCCTCCCGGGGAATCTGCTCTGCATGCAGGTTGAGTAGGTATGGAGACAGGACACATTCCTGGTGTACGCCCTTCCCAATTTTAAACCATGCTGTGTTTCTTTGTTTTGATGACTACCTTTTGGTCAAAGTATAGGTTTCGCACTAGCACAATCCAGTGTTCTGTTCTTGTATTCACATTCTTATCAGAGTCAGTAACAGTTTGTTAAGATCCACACAGTC